CCCAAAGATCCCATTTTACTCACCGGTGAGATTTTCAGTGGTCCTTCTCTGTGGACTCTTCACAGACCCCCCTGGTCCGCCACTCGTCTGTCTCCTGGACAGTCTCGGGAACCCAATCGATCGCCTGGTGCCGGCCGCCACCAAGGGGAGCTGATCACCGAAACTGGGTGAGGCGCGCCTTCAGCTCCACTTGCTGCCCGCCGCCCTGGACAGTGGAAATATCCCAGATGAGCCCCCAGAAATTGTCAGGAAAATTAATCCACAAGCATCAGAGGTTTATGTCCAAAAAGGAGACAGAGGAGTCCTTTTTCTTTATTCAGTTAAAGGGAGAGGCCATGGGGCATTCCCCTGGGGTCTCTCAAATTTTTGGAGGGCGCAGCCTTCTTTTTATACTAATTCCCGGCCGCTTGTCCCTTCTCTCTTTCCCCATAGGCTGAGGTACTTGAGAGGTACCAACTTACCGGAACACCTGATATCTGAGATGCTCCCCCCTGCCCCCCCGCCCCTCCCCCAATGCATAATCCCCTTCTTAATTCTTAACCCTTGTGGAATTTTATGGTGTTTCCCCAGTGTCTCTTTCATCTTTCAGTGGAATCCATCCCATTGTTTCTGTTATCTCTCAGTGATAGTTTCATCTTATCAGCAGACCCACAGCTTGTTTGTAAAGACAAACCCATCATTACTCTCATTTTATAAATGTATTATGAGATCTGGGAATCTCCTCCCTTCACTGAACCTCAAGTATCCTGTGCAAGGTGACTCTGAACTCACTTGCTCATTACTCTGCTACTGGAAACATTCCCACTGTGACTGGTTTGGCTTTGTGGTTTTTTGGTGTTTGTTTTCAGGTTTTTATTATCTGGGGTTTCTGGGGTTTATATTTAATCAACTATCTGGGGTTTATATTTAATCAACTACACTTTTCTTTGTCACCTTCTAAGGAAGCAGAGGGGAACCCAAAGCATCACTTCCGTAATCTCTGCAGGTGGAAATGAATCTTGTATGCCTAAAGCAGAGGAAGGAGAAACGGGCTCCATACTCACAAAAAAAAAAAAAAAAAAAAAAAAAAAAAGACTCTAAAGTTTTATCAATCTCCCAAAA